CATGAGTTGATGAGATAAGGGCATGCTGGTGAGTTGATGATATCAGAAGTGTGAGAACCTTGACAACCACAAGAGTTTTCATACACCCAAGGGCCATAGTAGTAAAATTATTCTCTGATGCTGAAAAAGAGGATCTTGTTTGGTGATTTGTTTCTATACACGCTGTAATTAGAGTAACTTCTTAAATCATCTCTATGTCTCACCCCCCCCCAAAATTCAGAATTTGTTGTTTTAAGAAGCATGCAGCATTGTGTCTCAGTAACTTAAATCACAAAGTACACAGCAATGTTTGAGTGTGGCAGCTGGCAATCAAAGCAATGCATGTCTTCTGCATTTCTGTGTGCTATCAAGTGTCCACTTTGCCGGAAAGATTGGCAAAGTATTGTTTTTGATGTATCAGTGTTTGAGAAAGAAATGCTGAAATTGTGTTATGCAAGATACATTGTAGAATGAGTTGTCAATCATGCACAAATGTTAGTCTTGCACATTTTATGTGTTATTCAAATAGTCGTTTTTTTTCTTTTTTAAAACTCTATGAAAACTTGCAATATTCAAGAAATGTTTTCCCAGCATTTCAGCGTGATTAACATATACTTGAGAAAAAAAACACTCACCTGTGCTGGCTCTTGCTATCCCACAATGCTTACCGTTGCTTGGTGGTCTCAGCAGACTTTGCCTGAGGCAGTGACTGGGGTAATCAAAAAGAGAAAACACAAGGTAAGGTGGTTGAAGTGAAATTAAAAACTTGTTTTCCTGTTTTTGCAGAGTTTTTTCTTCACCTGCAGGCTGCTTTCATAGTAGAGATAAAAAAATTGTTCTTTCAATTTGTGACATTTTTTACTTGTGTTTTCTGTGCCTGATATCAGTGTAATGTTCACTGTTTGATTTTGTGCCCTTAGATCAGAACTAGTGATCAAAATTAACTTTTTAAATGAAAATTAGGAATTATAGGAGACACGTGACAAGGTCATTGTTAGAGCATCATCTTTTGTCAATATGCAAGGGAGTGCTTGTTTTTATCTCGGTTTGAGACTGTGATTTAGACTCACGTCTTAAGTCCAAAGTCTGTGCTCATAATTCAATCGTGTTTATATTCTTTTACCCATTTGTTTTTAATTCACTTCATAAACAAAGTGGTTATGCTATAGCAGTTTATCTTAATCAGTCAACCTGTGTGGTCACTAGTCTCCCAGTTAGAAGCAGAACAGTTTTGTCAGTGGAATATCAAGTCAGTAATCCCATACATAAATTTGACGTGCAACAAAACAAAGAATTCCCCAAATGTCTTTACGTCCTAGTTAGTGTTAGTCATGAGTGGAGCATTGTTTAATCCATAACTCCTTCCAGACCATCCATGTTTGTCAAAGTTATCCAGGTTGACCAACAGTAATCCACCCATATCCTTCAAAATCCACAAAGAGGTTTTCACAGATTCTGTGGGATTTAGGAAAGATTGGGCCTTGAAAGCACCTTAAAAGTTTAGAAAGCAAAGAATGGGCTGTTAAAGGTGGTGTACACTATTGGTTTTTGGTCGTAATTTCACAAGATTGGCTGATTGCGGTGTGTAATATTCACTGCAACTTACATTCCACTCACTTGTTTCATGATTGAGTCAACTGCTTTGTGAAAAATCCAGAAGAACAGCGTGGCATTTTCAATGCTTAAATTGAAGGTCTTGTAGTTTATCTTGCGTAAAATCTATGGATTATAGGGCATTCCTAGTACAAGCAAATATCGTCCGCGGGGTCAGGGTGGGAAACAAGCATGACAGGTTCTCATTCCCTCAAAAAAGGAGCATTTTTCAATGGCTAGGAGTAATCAGTGAATTTACCTTGGAGTAATGGGCCTCCTCGACAATGTAGCATTGCGGATTCATGGAAAAAGTTCATCCAGGAACACAGCAGTCGACTCGTGTCCTTGACATTGAAATGAGTAGACCTGTATGATAATGTAGGTGCGCATGCGATCGTGTTTATAACGGCACTTTCATGTCAGTTCACACGTCGATGAAAGTCTAAAGCACTATTCATAGTTGAGTCATTAATAATTATAAGTAAAAAAGAATTATGTCTTAAAACAAGGGAGGAATAACGTGTGGAAATCACACTTTTTGTCGAGGAAAATCATCGTGCTCAGAAACAGCCGCCATATTGGATCATACCATTATTATCTAGGGTTGATTTTGAATTTGCAAAGTTTTCCATTAAAAACCTTTCCTTAAATAAAATTCAACTTCACACAGATCCAAGTTATTTTCTACTTTACGCCTAACACTCAGGTTTCTATCATTTCAGTTCACAGTGTTTTTGGTGAAAGAACGTCAGGATATTTTTGGCTGCTTTTAGGTTTATCCGTTCAATAATTGAGACTCCCACAACATCTGCAAACACTACATATAAGAAATTTGGCGCCTGTTGAAGGATGTGGTATGCGAAGTGAAATTAACTCTATTACGATGGTCGGCCGACCATCGTAATAAAAGAGAAAAAAATTTTTGTTTTTTTCAAAAACTACGTCATTCTGGGTGATAATATTTTACAGACTGATTGAGACTGTTGTGTACTTTTTTTCAAGTAAGATACCTGTATTTCAGGATTATTCGGTAGTCCGATTTTGGGGATTTTACCAATGGTGTACACCACCTTTAAAGCTTTCCCTATTCAGTGGTGAATTTTTTAGGATTTAGGAAAGTTCCAGCAAAAATGCGTAGATTATAACTCTTAACATCATTTAAAGTGTATTTGTACTGCATGTGTAAGTTTAATTGGCCAAGAACATCATCCCTTGTGCAAAGCCATTAAATGTTCAACTAAGAAATGCCACCATCAACTATTAACCATCTACTTATCCATTCTTCCATTGATCCACCTGTCATCCTCCATCTTACAATTCTGCTCACTTCCTATCAATTCATCTGTATTCATCCTCTCAAATCCATAATTGACTCTACTCCCTTATCCCCATCCAACCACCTTGTGTCTCTTATGTCTCCACAAAATCCCCGTTGTCACCCATCCTGAAATCATGCCCTGAATCTTCTCTGTTTTCTGTTTATTCTGTCACCTCTTCCCTGACCTACGCCACACTACCTTCCTCCTTATCCCATCTTTTCCTGTTTGTACCCTCTTTCACCATCCTCTGATTACTCCAATTACCATCTACTAGAAAGCCCACTCCATCCCCCATGGATCATGTGATTTTGTGTGCTTCCACGATGTAAGTTAACTTCATTGTAATCATGTGTATGAACTAATTTCAGACATTTCATCATTATGTCCATTATCATTATGTAAAGCTGAATGTAATCCTAACTTCAGTAAAAAAAACTTCACTGACAGGAGTCCAAATTTTGTTTCCACATGGTTATCACCGGCATTGGCATTTGTTTCTGCTACGTGCTGGCTTGTGATACTGAGTTTTGTTGTTTTCCAGCTTCACAACAAATTTTCAAGAATTTGGAATTACACAAACCGATAATTACTTAACTTGATCGGTTAGAATTAAAAAGTCCCATTTTAATGTGGTAATAGATGTTGATTAACAAGTGAAATGTTTGATTATTCCAGGCCTCAAGAACCTACTCTCTACCTGATCATGGTGCCTCATTTGTAACCCGTGGTGTAGGTGGAATTCTTTCGCTGCGTCTTGTGTGCAATTTGCAGTGGCTTTTTTGTCATGTTTTCTACATGTAGTCAGGGTTCCAGACCACCGTTAAGGCACACACAGCCCACTAGCTTTTTCATTGAGCCCTAATGTTGTTTTTTTATGCCAGTTGCTCTTAACTGCCTAAAGCTTTTGACCACAACCTAGTTGACAGTAAAGCAATCATGGGTGTGCCTGTCATGTCCCCTTTGTGATTGTGTTTGTTTGCTTTACAGATTTGGACGAGTCCAGAATGTTTGTAGAATGTTTTTGTTTGTAATTTGTCGTGTTTCACTTTTGAGTTTATTTCACAGTTGTCACTCATTAGTCACAGACATAGGAAGTTACAGGTAGCTTGTTTTTCCTGTTTGCAGTGAAGCTTAGATGGACCCAGTAAATTGAGTATTATATCTTCATTTTTATCAGTACCAATTTTATCGTCAGTGTAAATGTAGATTATAAGCAGCAGATCAGGAACAAATGCATTTCATTTGAGAATTGTAAAATATGCAGATTTTTCTTTTAATCTCACTGTGAAAGTTTCTACTGTTTTGTTGGAATTGAAGCTTTATGCATTTCTAAATAACAAACAGTCACAAGCACTATTTATTTTGATAACTGTCATGCATGTAAGCATTTACCATTGATAACTAGCAGTCAACTTTAATCAAAGATGTGTCATATACCGGTACAGTGTTGCTGTTTGCAGGCTTAGAAACTGCATGAAACTACATGTAGTCCATCCAAAGACGAACACAAAGTAGTGCCAATCACTTTTTTGGTGTTGTCTATCCCAGCTCATTCATCGTCAGTGTAGTGCATTCATCATACTGCACAGTTTGATCCACAAGTACCTGTTGTCATGACAACACAAGGGTTGCCACAATGTACCTGTCTTGCACCCATGTTGTCAGACTGTTGCCACTGTGCACCAATTTCTTTGGAGCACTAGTTTGTCAGTATTGTCGTCATAACACACATGTTGCTATAGACTGCCTTTCTACATGTACCTGTTGCCACCGTGCCCTCACCCACAATTATGGACTAACTTTTAATTCACCACATCATCCTGTCCATCACATTCACTTTAGTTCATTCCTTCAGTGATGCCTTCATTGTTTTTGATACAGTGGAATGCTACTTTAACGGACACAGTGGGGTCCACACAAAATGCTTGGTATAGCAGTCGTTTGGTATAGTGATTTTTCAGTCACAGTTGGACCTGTTCTGAACTCTGGCCAATTCAGATGTGTGTGTGTGTGTGTGGCCTGTCCCACTAATGTTTCGGTGTTAGAATTTTGGGCCAACATGTACATTAAAAAAAAATGAATTAAAATTTCAGAAGTTTTTATAATCACAAAATGAAAATCAAGCTATCGTTGAGTCATCGTTTTGCATGCAAAATGCAGTATGGTTACACTAGTTCCTGTAACCAAAACGGAACTTTAATAGTAAACAGGCTGTGCTGGGAACCATTCGAATACAGTGGCACTAGAGATGCATATACATGCATGTCCAAAGCGTTTTGGAAAATGATCGAAATCAGCAAGGTATTTATTGAAGATTTCTGCAAGTTAAGTAACAAATGTCATGATCTCTGCATATCTGTACTCTATTTTGGTAATTTTTCTAAGGTCAAAGCTCCCGGCTTTGTGGCAATTATCATGCAAACTTTTCTGCACCAGAGTCACCCAGTGTTCCACACACATGCTCGGCAGCCAGTCTGCATGGCAGCCCGTCCACACACACACACACACACACATGTGCAGTGTAGGCCACCCGTCAACACTAGACACCGCACCACATGTTGGCTGTTGTCTCATCATAAAAATGATTTCCCTCGACTTTCCAGTAATACCACCATCAGTCCTGAATATGTTTTTCATATTTAAAGCATAATCCAATATTCCGTAAATGTACAGTACATCAAAACATTGGGGGCCAAGGGGATGTTCAGTATATCCGAATGTTTAGTATAGCAGTGTTCATTACAGTGATATTCCACTGTATACATGTAGACATACAAACACTATGAACTAAAGAAAGCAGTCTTGCATAATGAGACATTCAGACACTTCTTGCATTGTGTGAAGGACCAGACTACAGTTATGTTTGAAAAGTTGGGTTTAAGGGATGAGTAATATCCCCAGGTTTGACATGAAAAGATTTGAATTGCATGTTGTGATGAGGTAATCCTCTTGTTCTGTCTTTTTTATTCTATCGTTTTTCTCTTCATTGCCACCTTCACCCTTCCTTTGCATGCTGACCTATTCACCCTGGCAACTGCATCATCATTGTCGTCATTGACAGGACGGTAAACTCCATCTCAAATTGGCCCTCAAGGCCCAAGAACACCACCACCAGGGACTCCCCTCCATTCCCACGGCCGACCATCCGACGGCCGCGGCCCCACCCAAATCCTACCAAATCTATGCCCTCCAGGGGGACCTGAGCCCTGGCAGCCTTGGGCCTGATGTCCGCCCCTTCCGCATGGCCTGCCATGGCAAGAGCCGTGTTAGCTCCTATGATGAACGTTTCGCCCAGCTTTGCAGGCGAGGCCGAGATGAGTCTGGCCCGACGCTCTACCGCCTTGTGGAGCCACGAACCATCGAGATGCCACTGGAAGCTGAACAGCGCATCAGTAACTTGGAGGAGCCTGATACCAGCTATGGATTCCTGCCAAGCATTGGTGCCCTGTACTACGATGAAGAACTAAACGTACTTTGACATCTGCTCTTGCTTCACAGCTGTCTTCCTTTGCTAACTCAGCCTCCTCAAACCTAAATGAACTCAACTTCTCCCACTTGCACAGTTAAAGATGAACTTTGCAGCTTTCTTGCCTGCATCATAACATCAAACACGTCAAACTAACTCCAATGTTTGTTTCATGCCATGGTTGATAGTTCCTTGACAACTTGGAACCTGACAGCACTCACTGTACAAGAGCACAGCAGTACACAGCAGGCAACTGCAATGAAATAAATAGCATGCAGTGCACTGCAGTAAGCCCAATGCACAGCAGTATACCACAGTGCACAGCAGCAAGCACCAATGCACAGCAGTATACTGCAGTGCATAGGAGCAAGCACCAATGCACAGCAGTGTACCGCAGTGCACAGCAGCATACTGCAGTGCACAGCAGCAAGCACCAAAGCACAGCAGTATACTGCAGTGCACAGCAGCAAGAACCAATGCTCAGCAGTATGCCGCAGTGTACAGCAACAAGCACCAATGCACAGCAGTGCACTGCAGTAAAGCCTTGGGCAAGTTCAAGTGCTTTTGAACAATATTGCTTTTGAACAGTGCACACGGGCAATTCAGTTGCACTCGAATGACCCTAGTCGGTCATTATTACTCATATTTCACCATTGGCTGCGATTCTTGCAGCGTATATGGTCTTTGAAATCTCGTACAAATATTTTCATGTGAATGGTTCCCTATGTAATGATAAATGAAATCGGCTATTGATCACCAGCAGTGACGTGGTCCCAAATGGTCGACTAGATGGTCCAAACCATCCATCGTTCAGGTGGTGTTAGTCGAGTTATAATTAACCACAGTCGTCGCTTGAACTTGCTCCCTAATGCAGAGTAGTAAACTGCAGTAAAGCACCAATGCATAACAGTACATTTCAACAAGCACAGCACTGCCCAGGCTTTCAGTGTGGTAAGGGGACAATTTCTTTTGTAACAAAAGTCGGAACAGAGTTATTAGAAAAAGTTTGGTCCCATAACCATTTGTGGTCCCCATAATATCTATATTTCTTCCGCTTGACCCCTGAATAAGTACGGGTGTACAGCGCAGTGTACCGCACCGGCGAGCACCAGTGTACCAATTCTTGTTCCGTAGTGGTGCGAACATACTTATCATTCTTCACCTACAGTTTTTTGTGGGGACCAAAACATTATGGGAACGGAAAAATGTCCCCACAACTCAGTCCTAGTTTGCCTAACAAAAGAAATGGTCCCCTTAACCCAGTGAAGGCCTACCCACTGCATTTCACAGCAAGAGGCACCAATTCACATTAGTGTACATACATGCAGCACACAGCAGTATGGACACCAGTGCACCGCTTTGCACTGCAGTGCACAGTAATAATCGCCTGTGCACAGCAGAGCAGTGCATAGCAGTTTGCAGCAGTTCACTGCAGGACAGAAGAAACATCATTTTGTAGCGCAGCAGTGTAAAGTAGAGCACAGAAATGCTCAACAACAGCAGTGCACCGCAGTGCACCGCAGTGCACAGCAGTGCAACGCAGTGCACCGCAGTGCACAGCAGTGCACCGCAGTGCTCAGATTGTAACAGTAAAGTACAGCCTGTAAAGCTTTGACTAGTAATGCATTAACAGCACACAAAATCCACTTCAAAATTTGCTCAAAATTGCTTTGCAGAGAAGTGCTATAGAAAGCACTATACAATCTCACCGTAGGCCATGGTTTGACCAGTCTTCTGGACCCAACAGATATGAATCCCTTAAACAGGTTAAAGTAAAATTATTTTTAACCCCTGACTCCATACTGGAATTAAAACTTGACAGATTCATCTCTGTAATTCTTATTTAGCTGGCTCCAAGAGGTCAGTCAAACTATGGACAGTAGTGAACATTAATATACAAATACACATGTAAGTGCACAGCACGGTTGCTAAATAGACTAAGCCTGTCAACAAAACTTTTATCGATTTGCTATAAATATTTAAGTCTATTTGATTTGTTCATAATTTATTCAAGAAGTGTAATGGTGTCACATTTTCGGAGGGGGTGTGTAATAGTCCTGTTTCTCCCTCCTAATGTTATCACAATTTTATAAAGGTGTAAGAAGGTCCACAGGAAACAGGTGTCCACGAGTTTTCGTTTGCTGTGGCTTGTAAATCAGCAATTTTGTTCTTTGCTCCAGAATATGCAAGGCCAAATTTTACAGATGAAACCAAAAGAAACAGAAAATCAACCACAAACAAGTCCCTAGCAACTCGACGTGTGTGTTCGTGTGATGTTTCTCCCTTTTTGGGGAGGGATAGCACTGGCAAACTGTTTTTCCTGTTGAGGAAATCTCAAAATTGATGTTGGGCAAGGCTTATTCACTTCAGTTGCAAATCTGTAAAGTTTGGCCGAGATCACAATTTCCAATGCAAACAGTTTGCAAGCTTGAGTGTGGCAACCCTGTATGCTGTTGATGCTTGAGTGCTGTTGTCTTGGTAACTCATTTTGAAATCATTCAGAGAATTCACCTTTTTAATCTCCCATTTTTTGTTTTACATCCCTTTGTTTTGCCACCTGAAATGTTCATACATTGCATGGTAAGAAATCTCACCAAGTGGCCATTATTGAAACAGTTTCACTCCTGGACAGACAAAAATAAAACACATGTTGTGTAAATGATAAGCAGAAGTAGGCAAAGTGTACTGACACAAATGAGCCTCTCTGAGGATGCAGATGGGTAAAAAATGTACCCAATGTTAGTGTCTGTTGGGTGTAAGTGGGTTATGAAGGGTGTTTGTTATGGATACAGGTGCGCAAATTGTACCAGATACATGTACATGTAAATGAGTAGCTGGGTGCAGTTGGGCTAACTGCACCCTACGATGAGTATCTGCCCGGGTATAATACAAGTTGGCAAACTGTACGTTATGGTACCTCATAGTGGACTTCTATTGGTTGACAACTGAGTAAACAGTACTCCACAATCTGTCTTGGGGTTAAATTGAAAGCTTTTGTAAGCCTATGACGAGTTCCAAATTGGTACAATTGGTATAGACACCTTGATACTTCTACATTGGTGCAAGCAGCCTAACAGCATCTTTTAATAAGATTTATAACCCTATCTTAAACTGGCTTTTACTGCTAACAGCACCCAGAAAATTTGGGCTGAGTGTGTTTTCTCTATTTGAAACTTATGCAGAAAGAATATTCTTGGAATGACTGAGTTCAAACCCTGGAACTCTGGATTGGTAGTCCAGTGCCTTTCCTATGTGATCATTATTATAACCAGTGTACAAAGCAAAGATCTTGTAATGATTTTGAGGATGCAAACCCAGCATCTCTGCATTACCAGTCCAGTGCAAACTGATGTAGCTAACCCCATTTCTGAATTGTTAAGATTCAGAAAAATTAAAGGATCATTGCTGGGTTCAGACCTTGGACCTCTAGATTACCGATCCAATGCCTTATCTGTGTGGCTAACTCGAATGTGATTGTCTTGCATCTGAAATTAAGCACAGGCAAATTTCAGTATCCAGACTGGGTTCAAACCCTAGATCCCTAGATTGCAAGTCCAGTGCTTCATATATGTTGTTAACTAAGTCACTGTTTTGTGTCTCTCAAGCCTGCTGAATGTGACAAAACTGTTCAGATGATCAAGAAGTACCCGCCTTTTGTGAATCGTTACATTGGCCGGAGCAACAACGGCATCCCGATGTTTGCTCAGGAGAGACTGGAAGAACGAGCCTCCAAGGTACACCTCACGCCTCATTTTGTCAACAAAACTCTGAATTTTAATCCCAAAGGGAATAAATTCAGGTTTGTTTGGGCAAAAACCCATTGTAAAATAAAATAATATATCAGAACAGTAAGGTCGGAGAAATGGTACTGTCAACATCTCCAGTGACTCCAGTGTGAATCCTAACCAATGCAAGATGTTAGTAGGGTTTACCAGTTTCTACTTAAAAGGGTTTATTGTCAAAACAAGCTCCTGTCACCCCCTGCCCTTGTGATACAATCATTTTGCCATTTGAGTGCACTGTCCAAGCAGAGCACTGTTCCATAGTTCCCATTACAAACCCACCCAAAGGCAGGACTTGAACGGAGTGCTTGCAACTCCCTGTAAGCATCCTTCATGCGTTTTCTGTGTTTAATAACTTGACTAGACTCGTCAACAGGCTTCATTGTAGGATTAGTAATTGTTCACATTTTGTGCAGAGAATGGAGACTGTGAAGAAGCTGGAACAGGAACGGCTGGAGAGGCAGGCTACAGCATTCCAGGTACCTCATTATGTTGGATTTAGTATCTTTTGGTTGGTCGGTTGGTTGGTTGGTTGGTTGGTTGGTTGGTCGGTCGGTCGGTCGGTCGGTGGTTTACTCCACCAGGTAGCATTGAAGGCAGCACCCCACCTCCCCCTTCCTTCCTCCACCCACACCATCAGGCCTTACCCCTGACAAAGTGCTGGCTATGATAGTAAACATCCTGAGGACATTTTGCAAATCTTGGTTTTGGATGCAGCTTCAGGCTTTATAGTTCAAGAAATATAGTCCAATGCAGTATCGTTTTTGGCCGCAGAAGTATTAAGTTGTATATTGTGATGCAAACTTCTTGAATGGTTTCTTTCAACAGTGTTGTATTGGAGTCCATCACAAGTCCAGCCTCAAGTCCCTTCACAAGGCCAGGCACAAGTCCCATGACTCCCATCACATGTCCAGCCACAAGGCCAGTCATAAATAACAGGGTGAACAATGACAAAAGAATGCTTTTCTCACAGCTCGTGTGATTAGGTTGTGAATTGGCTTAAGACTGAATGACTTGTGATGGACTTACGGGGACTTGCATGGACTTGTGATGGAATTGTAGGGACTTCTGGTGGACTCGAATACAACACAGTCATTTGGGTCAGTAGTACTTCAAAGGGATTCTGGAACTAAAGATAAGGCCCCAGCCAGAGACAAATCCCTCATTTGAGAAATGGAATTGGCCTCATTTTGTATTCTCCTACCCATTGCCTGAACACCACATCTCAATGTCAATTTTTTTTCCTGTATCAAACCTTTAATTAATACTCCTTGTCCAGACCCAGCTCTCTGAAGAGGATGCCCACTTCCTGGCTTTATCCAGACACCTGCAACTGCAAGAAAAGGAGGAGGGTCAATACAAGATGGACACGCCCACCCTGACCGTCCAATGCAACATACCAGGGACCCCTGGCTACCCCTTGCAAGTCAATTTCAGGCAGGGCTACACCCATCGCAGTAAGTTGCATAAACCAGCGTATGATATACATGGATGATTAAATTGGGAGGAGTCAAGTCTTCAACCCCCTCCCCAAACCCCACCCCACCAACAAAAAGCTTGTGCTGTAAAGCACATCTACACCCGTTACAGCTAGTTGCAGAATAAGACACAGCAGTGATTCTACGGGGAGAGATTAAGTCCACAAATCGTCCCCCATCAAACTTCTCCCCCCATCAAATCTCTATCCCAAATTCACATAACCTAAAGCTCCACCTCCCTACAGTGCCTGTTACCCCTGCTGGCAAACTTGGTCCATCTGTCGTCATGAGAGAAAGTTTTGGTCATCGATTCATTGTTCTTGGTTTCAAATATTTGCCAGATTCTACAATGATCAAAGGTCACCCTCTGAGTCTGGACCAGATAGGCGATGGTCTCCAGGAGGCAGACGGAAAGCAGGACACACCCCGCGTCACATCCTCAAGGCAGTCCCCTCGTAAGCTGGAGCCCATGAGTGATGCCAGAGTCCCGGGTGTGAGTCTTCACTCCAACTTAGATGGAAAGAGAATGGGTGTCGGGCAAGTTCAAGGGGCCTTCGTAGACCAGATCAGCTCTGATCTGAGAAACAGGGTGTCAGAAGGGGATTTTGTGGACCAAAGGGACCAACGAGAGCTGGCTGATCACAAGAGCAATATTGCAGTCAGCCCTGGCAAACTGGACGATGTGGAGGCGGGGAAGTCAATGGGTGCCCCAAACCAAGCCCAAGGGTTAAATAGAGGGAGGACTGTGACTGAGATGGATTTGAGGATGTTTAGGGCTGACATGGATGAAAATTGGCCAGATTCGAGCCGGACATCCTCCAACCGAACCCCAAGTGGGAGGGGAGACCAGAGTCGCATGCAGAGTGCAAAGAGCTATAGTGTCACCAATCCATGGCTAGGAGCCCGCAACCTCCATAATGGTAGCCGGTTCAATCTGCCCACTGGTGGTTCTTTTGGCCACGCCCCACCCCCTCTCAGGTCACTTCGGCATAGGCACCCCTCAGCCGTCAAGAAGAACCACATGGACCTGATTGAGCAGCAGTATGGCCGCTTCCTGTCTGGAGTGGACCCCAAGAGGGCACCCTCCACTGCTGCAAAGTACCTTCAAAGTCTAGCCAAAAGCGTGATTGACGGTGCCTCGACCAGTCAGCCCCAGACAGTTACTAAACAGGTGAAGAAGAAATGAAGAACACCAGCAAATCATGATAACACTGGCACGCATAAATGAGGAACTCATGTGTGACATGGCACATAAACACCAGAGCATGATTCAGTTGGTACTGAAGTACCCTTTCCTGACAAGTTTTGCCTAATTCAACACAAGAAGGCAAAATTGCCAAAGCACTTGATTGAATACTGGCCTAAAGATCGGCCAAAGAAAAATGACATTTATAACCACAATTCTGCCAGTAGTTTGTATCCATTTTGTTTCCTATTTTATACATTTTATTTATGTCATTCTGATATGAAATTTTTAACTTGAAATTCTTTCAGTGTGACTGACAATCAAAGATAACTAGTTTGTTTACTTCCAATTTGAACATTCCCTGATTTTACGTCCAGAATTGGAAATGGGATCAGTAGACGTTCTGATCAAAATCATGCCCAGCCCAACCAAGCTGTTGTAGACGGTTTTTCACAAGGGTCTTTTCCTAACCTTACATGTTACCCCTGAGTAACTTTATCCTCCTTATGATACCATGGTTGGAGTGTGGTCTTGGTAACCCTGCTGAAATCCCCACCAATTCCTCCCGCTGTCGAATTTGACTATGAAACCATATCCTTGGTTTTCAACATACCTATGACAGTGACTTGCTGTTGTGTGTACATATTTCAAGATGCTGTATTCAGAATACAAACCTTCTATACATGTATTTATTAGTTCAATGTGATTTAGGTGAAGTTTGTTTGATTGGAATTGATTGGATTTCAGATTTATTTCTTTTCATTTTAAAACAATCAGATATGTTTCCTAAAGCTTTTTATTCATAAAACACTTCCTCGTTTGTTTATTCCGTCCTTCTGTTAAGAATATGATTGGATCTTTAATAAATCGAAACAATTTACTTTCATCATTTGTCTGTTTTGTTTCCTTGGTTTTTGTTTGATTGGGTTTTTTGTGTAATTGAATTTGTTGACAACTCGCCATTCAAACAAATGATGCTCAAAAGGAAGGAGATATAATTTTGCAGTAATTTGGACCATATCAATAATTAGCGAACGCCCCATTCCAAATGTTTTATATACAGTAGCCCCCCCCCCGACTGACTGCCCCCCCCTTCTCCCCCACTCAGAAATTTGCGATGGAAAAGTTTCCTGTGGTCAGTGTTCTGTGACCGAACCCCATTGAGTGACCCCCTTCGGAAAAAAAACAGGGGCCTCGCCCATGCACATCGCTTCCTGTCTTCTGTTGTATTGTAAAGTAGTATTAACGACCATCAGTCATTAATTTGTAGTTAACTCTCCCATCTTCAGCCTTATTTATAGCAGACCTGCATTGGCTATTTCTTTTTCCTCAGAGGACTTAATCGAACGTCCTTTCAATCATTTCGAAGAGCAACAGGGTACTTTAATTTCGGGAATATCACAGGTTACGTTATTTACCCTGTGCTCATAGATTTGCTGCAGTTTTCATCTTGTCATGCTGTATCGGGGATTTGTACACCACATTGCGTGCCAGAGCGTGTTTACGTAGAGGATAATGCCGGAGGTGCGCGACATTCATGGGTAGGAATGGGCCCGAGGGTATTGTGGGACTTAACCTGCACCTGAGACTGGGACGTCACGCTATTGTTTCCAACGCTTCATTATTTTGTACGAATGGAGCGTCTTTGTTTCAAAGAGAGTAGGTCTACAAGTGTTTTGTTACGGAAGGCCTTAATACATTCCTTGGATTTAATAGTAGACAACAACTCAAATGCATGGAACAATCCATACATTCTGTACCGTGGTAAAAAAATTGCAGCCACGCTTCGGGACGTATTTGCAGCCACACTTCGGGACATACATACATGGTCACATCATCTACATCTACGCTGATGCTCGGCAAAGTCCACTTCTGGATATTAACGCTGAGATGAAGCGAGGTGCATGTGAAGCAAGGGGGCGTTATTTTTGTGCGAAAGAAATGAAGAAAACATTAAGAACAAGTAAAAAAAGAGCTACCATCTTGGGGCTAGTTGGCAGAAATGAATGCCTTAAAGACGTCCACCGATGGAGCTGTTATGACGTCTACAGGAAGGGCATTCCAGAGCCGCCCGCTGTTGGCATGGATGAGAACTTATAGATGTCTTTTGGAGGAGTGAGTTGTGACAGGCTGGTATCGTGCCGGTTGGTAATTTCTGAGTCTGGTATTTGTCGTGGGTGTCAGGAACTGATGTTGCTTAATTGCAGTGAGGTTATGAGAAATCTTGTATAGCATGGTTTTGATGGCCACTTCCCTCCTGGATTGGAGTTAAGTCCTCTGCAGTTTTTTCAGCATTTCGCTCATGCTTTCCGTTCTTTGGTAAATGTTATGTACAAATTTAGCTGCTTTCTTTTGGATGGCTTCTACCTGGTTGATTGTTATTTGATGGTGGGGATTCCAAACAGTAGAGAAGTATTGTAACGAAACAGGGTAGG